AGAAGTCCTGATACCCTAAGATGGACTGTGCCTAAAAAAGAGATCTAATTACATTTGGCCTTAGGTATTATAACTTACAAGCAACCAATATCTTCCTTCATGACAAGATACTTTGCAATTCCTGAACCAACCTTCCACTACTTCCTAATTCAATCTCCCAAGAGATTTAGCTAACCATCTCAAATTGCAGACTAGGCATGTACCCAGGTTTTGAATAATTAAAGAAAGCCAAGTTTCTCATCTTCAATTAGTTTCTGCCCTGATCCTATTCAAAACTGAACCAATACCAACAGAGTGCTCTATCCATCTTTCCATTATTTGCAATATCTGAGTCAATATGTCTGAGTCAAGCAGAAAAGGTCAGATAAGGTGATGTTAGGGAAATGAACCCTAAGATATGTATTCAAATATTTTCTTCTTTCATGCGATTGTTTCTAACACATTTATAAGATGATTTCTTTGTTGCTTTGTATGTCCCTCCCCCACAGTATAACCCCTGCTTTCACTGTATTTGATGTCAGTATAATTTGTGGAGGGGAAGGGGAAAAAAGTAATTGTTTAAATAGGGATACAGGTGGACCCATTGCAGCAATGAAATGTACAAGGCGTTATGTCCAAAACGAACTTTACAACTTTGCGGGGGGGGGGGGGGGGGGGGGGAGGGGGGGGGAAGCAGGGAGGATTGGGTGGGGGGGCAGGGGGGGAAGGATGGGAAGGGGAAACAAAGGAGGCTACAATGCTTGATAAGAAATGTACTCATTGGGGCTGGGAAGGTGGCTCAGTGGTAGAGCACTTGCCTTGCATGCCTGAGGCCCTGGGTTCGATTCCTCAGCACCACATAAGCAAAAAAGAAAAAAGCCAGAAGTGGTGCGGTGGCTCAAGTGGTAGAGTGCTAGCCTTGAGCTGAAGAGCTGAGGGACAGCGCCCAGGCCCAGAGTTCAGGCCCCACGACCGGACCCAAAAAAAAAAAAAAAAAAAGAAATGTACTCGTTATCTTGCCTATGTAATTGTAACCCCTCTGTACGGTATTTTCACAATAAAAAAAAAAAAAAAAGGAAGAAAGAAAATAAAAGGAATTGTGCCAACCAAGACCTAAGGAAGGGAGACAAATTGAGTTCAGCAAAATTTACTGAAGCATTCTTGTGCATGAAGAGCTATGCCAGGCACTGGCCTCAACAGAGACAGATGGCACACTCTCACTGAACCCACAGGAAACAGAACCATAAAGCATGGGCAAGGTGCCATGAGTGCAGGAAAAAGGACATCTACCGTTGCATAGGACATAGTAGACAGCATGGAGGAAGTAATAACTGTGTGGAGTAGGATTTCAAGAGCAGGGATGACATTCCAAAGAGAAGAAATAATACGTGCAAGGTATAAAAGTATCCTTTTATCTCCTCCAATGGGAGATAACAGCAATCACCATGACTAAAATCCAGCCGAAACAGTAAATACAGCATGAGATCTCAAAAGTAAATTAGAACTAAAACACAAAATGCAACGAACACCTTAGCAAGGACTGTAGTCTACAGCACAGGTGATTGGAGAATGGGAAGCTGAGATCCACCTCTATCCATGTAGATGCCCTCATCTAATGAATCTGGGACCCCAAGTAATCCAGGACAAATTCAACATTATTAAACAAAACCTCAGGACTTACAGTTGTACTATGGCTTATTCAATTAATATAGGCAAGATCTGCGGTAGACAAAGGGAGGACAGAAAATTGCCTAACCATATAATAGTCCTGATTTAATCAAGTGATTTATTTTTTTCCAACAGGAAAGATTTTCAATGAGGAAAGTCGTTTCTACCAGGGTAAACCTAGTGAGGGTTCTACATGTTTCATTTGTAGCATCCTGAGAAGCTAGGGTTACAGGCATGAGCCACCATGAGGAGCTTAACTCTTAATCTTTTTTTTTTTATGTTCATGGTTTCAATTATCAGTACTCCTAGCATATAAAAGAATTTTAGAAAAACTAGCTTTTTCCTCATATTTGAATTAACTCTTCTCTCTTCCCCCCTCCCCAAATAAAATTAGGAAAAAGGTGATTTTGAACTAGCTTTTGACAGCAGGAACTAAGCCAATGTACTGACAAACTGGACTTCATACAAGTTTCAGATGAAGATGAGGATTTCACAAAACACGGAAGGCTTAGTAAAAAATTTGAACTAGTCTTCAAGATCATCTTATAATTTGACCTTCTACGAAAACATAGTGTGTCTATTTGTAAGAAATAAAGGCTGGCCAGGTAATGTACATCTGAAATTCCAGAACTTGAAAGGCTGAGGCAGAAGGGTCACAAGTTGAAGGCCAGGGTGGTCTATATAGCCTGATCTTGTCTCAAAGCAAAATAAACGAAAGCCACTATGAAGGTACGTCCTAAAACTCTGTGTGTGTGTTTGTATGATTAGTCTTAAATTGTATCACTCACTCCTAGCTTAATAATCAATAATAAAGCTGTATACTATGTCTGAAGTACTCCCAATTCTTTATTAAAATGTGAGTTACCAGGGATAGAGCTTGTTCAAAGTATACTCTACATGTGTATGAAATTGTCACAATGACACTTCCATGTGCTATTAATGTAAAGCAATAAATAAAATACATTTAAAGAGAAAAAGTATGAGTTGATTAAAGCTAGCTTCCTGGCTTACCATTTTCTCCATGACTAAGTGTTTTAGCACCCTCTACTGGCCACTTGTTGAAACTAGTCAGCTCTTAACACCTACCTCCCCAGCTGGGCAGTCTTACAAAGCTCACTGTGACTACAGCGTGTGAATGACTTTATAAAATTAGAATTGCAGAAAGTGGTTTCATTCTGACGATCTATGCATGCATATAATGTACTTTGATCAAATTCATCCACTCTATCTCCCCCACTCCTATTTTTTAAAAAATAAGTTTAATGGGTTTCATTACTTATTTTCATACAGATGTATGAAGTACTTCAATCACATTCACCACCTCCACTCACTCTTCTCCTTTTAACCCTTTTACCCTTCCAATGGTTTCCACCTCCCAAACCATCCTGGTTTTAAGGTCCTGTCATTTGCGGGGGGGGGGGGGGGTCTAGAGTCTACCTATGAGATAAAATATGTGCTATTTGTCTTTCTCCACCCAACTTCTTTTGCTAAACCTGGTAAGTCTCCAGCTCCACCCATTTTCCTGTAAATGACACCATTTTATGCTTCCCTGTGACTGAATAATACTCCATTCTCTATATACACTTGTGCAGGACTTCTGGTCTTGCTGACAGATTTCACAAATCCTATCCTGAGCTAGAAGCTCCTCATCTGTATCCACCTCCTTTCTACAGACACATGTTTTCATGGGCTGAGTCACATATCACCCTCCTGCCTGTCTGCTTCATCTAGAGTTAAATGGTAGGGACCGCCTCATTAATCACCTGGATTCACATAAGTCAGAAAGAAGAAATGGGGAGCATATCCGCTCTCCACCACCCAGAAGCTCACAGAGTTGATACCAATGACATCCTGCCCTTAGGCTTATGAGAGTTTCTCTAGTAGGAGGGTGTCAGAAAAAACTTTCCCCACTCCTCTATGGCCTCAAGATGAGGCAATTTCTAATTCTCCAGAGTCTAATACAGAAAGTGAAGTCCCCTTAGTAGGATTAAACATAATCATGACCCCTCTACACTCTTATTATCTGTCCATTTTCTTTTGGAAAACAAAAATATAAGAGTCAGTATTATACTCCTTGTTCAAAACAGAATGACATGACAGGTGAAGATGTACGGGAGAACTTCTTCACTATAAAATCTTGACAGATAAAGCTACTATTTACCAATTAATAAATTCTTACTAGTTCAATATCATGCATTGAGTTCAAGTATTCTTTAGAGAATGTTATGAAGAATCTAGAACATAATTCATGCCATCAATGAGCTCAGAATTTGGTTAGAACAACCGAATGTGACAGAGGAAATCATTAGAAAGAAACAGAATATCCTACCCTTAAGTTAAAATTGGAAAACTAGGCCCTAATTCTAACTACTGAGGAGCTGAGATCTAAAGATCATGGTTCAAAACCAGCCCAAACAGAAACATCTATGAGACTTTTATCTCCAATTACCTGGTAAAAGTCTAGAAGTGCAGGTGTGGCTTAAGAACTCTAGCCTTGAATAGAAAAAGCTAAAGAAAAAGAAAAAAGAAAAAGCTAAAGAAGAGTAGAAGTCCAGAGTTCAAGCCTTTGTACCACCATAAAAAGAAAAAAACAAAAAGATACTAGAAGTCAGATGCCAGCTCACACTTCACAAAAGGCTGACATCAAGTTCAAAGCTAACTCAGACAGAAAAGACTGTCAGACTCTCTCATCAATAAATCAGCACAATTCTAGACTACAGATGTGGCTCAATAGTAGATCACCAGTTGTTAGCAAGAAAGCCGAATGAGAGCACAGGATTGAGAATTCAAGCTCCAGGAGGCACACAAAGAAATTATATATATATAGTATTTATTATAAATTGTGTATGTCATATAATGTATAATATATTAATCCTATAAAATATATAACTGTATATTATATAATGATATAATATATTATAGATAATTTATGCATATGGAAATACAATCAACAAAATATTAGTAACACTTATCTTTAGACTTTTCAGTACTGTTTAAAGTTTCTACAATAAGTAAGAGTAGAAGGTATTTACAACAAGAACAGGAAAATAATAACTGATCAAGAGTACAAACAAAAAAACTGTCTATAAATAGAAGTGTACACACAGAATAATTCATGAACACCGTTATGTAAAAATCACATTGGGAGAAAACAGGAAAGTATTAATGACTTGCCTCTAGAGCAAGCGATTTGTGTCACATACTTTGTTCATTTTCTAGTCCTTTTATAATGTACCAAAAAAAAGACATCTTCACTTCAAGACACCCATATGTTAAACAATCATTCAATCCTCATTTTTTAAAGAAAATCGTAACAATAATGCTTTACAGGTACCGATTAGTCAGCAGCGTACCTGGGATGAGTGCTGTGCTGATAAGAATGTCCACCTCTTTACACTGCTGGGCAAAAAGCTTCATTTCAGCTTCAATAAACTCTTTGGACATCTCTTTCGCATATCCTCCTTGACCTTCACCAGATTCTTTCAAGTCAACTTCCAAGGGTTCAGCACCAAGAGACTTGAACTGTTCCAAAGCTGCAGCTCTGAATTATTAAGAGAGAAACAAGTAATCATTATAGGTACTTAATAAGAGAACCAAAATCTTCACTTACTTTTTTTAATTTTTTTTTGTTATCATAAAGATGATGTGCAGAGGAGTCACAGCTACATAAATCATAAAACATAAATCATAAAACATTTTGGATAATGTTACCCCTTCCCTCACTCTCCCATTTTTAAGAAGAGCAGACTACACATAGTGCTTCTGACTTAACTCTTTTTTTTTTTTGGGGGGGGGGAAGGGTCCGGTCGTGGGGCCTGAACTCTGGGCCTGGGCGCTGTCCCTCAGCTCTTCAGCTCAAGGCTAGCATGCTACCACTTGAGCCATAGCACCACTTCTGGCTTCTTTTTTTCTGCTTATGTGGTTCTGAAGAATCGAACCCAGGGCCTCATGCATGCAAGGCAAGCACTCTACCACTGAGCCACCTTCCCAGCCACATAACTTTTTTGTTGTTGTTGTTTTTGGGTTTTTTTTTTCTAGAGGCAGATAATCCTTTGATGATAATATTTTATCTGGAAAAAATAAGGAAATGCAGCTTCAAATCAGTTAAATTGCAAAAAGAATTAATTAAATTGGAAATAAACATTTTTCCAGGAATTATTTTGTCACAAAGCTATCCATCCTTGTCACACAGATATTAATAATGATCTGATATACATTATGACTTAGTATCAGCTGGGAGTGGTGGCCTGTGCCTATAATCCTAGCTATTCAAAAAGCTAAGATTAGAAGGAGATTCAAGGTCAGTCCAGGCAGAAAAGTTCATGAGACACTTCTCAACCATGGCCATTATATCCTATGGCTTGTCATCCCAGCTACACAGGGGTTGAGATCAGGAGTAATATAATTCGAGGCCAGCCTGGGAAAAAAAAAATTTTTAATTCAAGAAACTCTATCCCAATAGAAGAAGCTGAGCAGTGGGGCACAAACCTGTCATCCCAGCCAAGGAAAGAGGCCTAAAATTAGTTACAATCCAGGAGCAGACCCGGGCAAAAGAGTGAAACTCTGTCTCAAAATCACTAATGTAGGGCTGGGAAGGTGCCCAGTGGTACAGTGCTTGCCTCGCATGCATGAGGCCCTGGATTCAATTCCTCAGCACCACAGAAGCAGACAAAGCCGGAAGTGGTGCCGTGGCTCAAGTGGTAGAGTGCTATCCTTGAGCTGAAGAGCTGAGGATCAGCGCCCAGGCCCAGAGTTCAAGACCCACAACCAACCAAAAAAAAAAAATCACTAATGTATTAATATGCTGCAGATGTGGCTCAGCAATAAATCACCTGCCTAACAAGCACAAGACCCTGAGTTCTGCCAAAAGAAGGAAGGAGGGAGGAAGGGAGGAAGGGAGGGCAAAGACCTACTATCATTCACATAGTTGGGTTTTTTCATTTGCAAATGCTCAGAGTTTGTTCTTACATTGGGGTTTTCCCACAGAAATGACTCTTACTTAAAAATATTTTAATCAAGTCATTTTGTTACCTCATAAAGTTTCTGAAAATACATGAAAAGCCAACATAAAATATATATATATATATTTTAATATATAGTATTTGTGTACATTATACATATTTTTTCAGTATTAAAATAAATGCTACACATTTGCCTTATCCTTACTGGAAAGCCACAGCCAACAAAGATTTCAGCTCTGTATAGGAACTCACCAATACCCATTCCACTAGGGTATACTCAATCTCAAACCTCCCTATGGCAACAATCCCTGGAAGTATTTATTAGAAATTCAAATCCCTAGGCCCTTCCCCAGAACCAATGAATCATAATAATGTCCAGTACAGAGACCAGAAGTTATATTTTTAGAAAGAACATCAGTCAGTCTTGCCATCAAAGAATTTGAGACACCAAGGTCTGAGCCAATAAATCCCTAGCCACCATCATGTTCTGGCGTGGGCATAAAGAGTTAGTACATGCAATCCATTGTTGAGCAAGAGATGGCTCTCTCTGCTGGCTTGAATAAGTTTCTGGTGCCAAGAATGCCCATGCAGGTCAAGTTGCAACCACAAGTGGAATCAGTCTTAGGAGTATACCAAATCTGAGGGCAGCAGAGAGGAAAGGCAAAAAGAACTTAGGAGAGATAATGCATTGTTTTGTGGTTTAAGCCAATTTAATTTGGTGTTTCCCATCCCTTGCAGCCACAAGGATACAGTTCTTTAAAAAGTTTCAAGAATGTATAATAGTAACACAAAAAATAAGAATAATACAAAAATTATATATAGGTACACATATTGTTAGACACACACATATACATACACACATACACACACACACACACACACACACACACACACACACACACACACACGTATCTATATAATGATCCAAGGCCACTACAGAAATTTGTCCCAAGAAAATAATGAGACACTTCCAAGAATGTAAATTATAAACAAAAGTAGAGTTAAGCAACAATACTATTCTTACTTAACAGTAAGTTTCAAATCATGTCTAGGTCAGATATATCCAGTCCTATTTTAATATTGTCATCTACTACAATGAACACATAAGCAATCTGTTCTCTAAAGGTCTACAAAAATGTTCACATCAGCAAACACTATAAATGAAAAGATAGCCAAACATCAGTGGCTCATACCCGAGTCCTAGACAAAGATTTGGATGACTATAGTTCAAAGCTAGTCTAAGCAGTAAAGTCCTCTAGACGCCATCTCAAAAAAAAAAAAACAGAAAAAGCTGGTCTGGAGGCATGGCCCAAATAATAAAGCGCCAGCTGAACATGCAAGGTGCCTTGAATTCAAACCTTGGTACCAATGGGTACCGGTAGCTCATGCCTGTAATCCTAGCTACTCAGGAGGCTGAGATCTGAGGATCGCAGTTGAAAGCCAGCCTGAGCAGGATAGTCCATGAGACTCTTATCTCCAATTAACCACCAGAAAACTGGAAGTGGTGCTGTGGTTCAAGTGGTAGAGCACTTGCCTTGAACTAAAGAGCTGAGGGACAGCGCCCAGGCCCAGAGTTCAAGCCCCACAACCAAGAAAAAAAAAAAAAATGGTACCATAAATAAAAAGTAGCACTAATCAAGATTCATTGTATTTATATTTATATAAATACATACGTGTATATATATACATGATACATATGTGTGTGTGTATATATATATATATATACATGAAACATCTTTGTTCACCTACTTACAGATGAAATTTAGAAAAAATAACAAAGACAAACTATTGTATATTTAATCTTGGCCCCCTTGGTTGTGACCAGTTTACTTTGAAAATAACTTATTTTCTCATTTTAGGACAGTTTTTATCAATATATCACCTCTCTAAACTCTAGGTAAGAATCATTGACCACATTCTATGGAGTACTGTTTACTTTGAAAAGTCAAATTCTTTCCACCTTGCAATCTTTTTCTATCATTTTATACTTAAGATCGGCAGCAGAAAGGTATAGGTAGCATGCACAAGGTTCAATTCCCAGCACCAAAAACAAATAATCAAACAAACAAGTTAATAAATATCAGTGGCATTATTCCTGTTGCCCTCAGTTGGTAATAACTAATGTTTCAACCTCAAGAATGGACACCTACATGATCATAATACTTAACAACCATTTAATAAAACCAGTATCTAGTGTCTTCAGCAACAAAGAGAAATTTTAATCAAACTTCTTTTTAAAGACAAATTAGGAAGTATTTGTATAGTTGCCTTAGGGAAATACAGAATGAATGTAACCAACTACTTTCACTAAGGAGCTCTAAAATTATCAGAGGAAGATAAACAACCCTCTCTTTACATTCAAAACAGAAGCCTTATCCCAAATAACGCAATCAGAACAACTCTTTCCGTGCTACTCTCGTATGAAAAGGGCTAGATTTTTCTTTGCATTCAGGGCAGGCATGCTCCCCACCCATCTGCTAAAATATCTCCTATCTCATTCTCTTTCCTCATTCATAAATAACTTTGTTCATGTGGTACCTAAAAGCATTCTTTTTTTTTTTTTTTTTTTTTGGTCCAGTCGTGGGGCCTGAACTCTGGGCCTGGGCGCTGTCCCTCAGCTCTTCAGCTCAAGGCTAGCACTCTACCACTTGAGCTACAGCACCACTTCTGGCTTTTTTCTTTTTGCTTATGTGGTGCTGAGGAATCGAACCCAGGGCCTCAGGTATGCAAAGCAAGCACTCTACCACTGAGCCACCTTCCCAGCCCCTACCTAAAAGCATTCTAAGAGAAACAGGATATAACAAAGCAATAAAAATATATAAGACAAAGCCAGGGCCTGGTAGCTCGGATCGTGGTTCAAAGCTAGCCCGGGCAGGAAAGTCAGTGAAAATCTTTATCTCCAATAAACCACCAGAAAACCAGAAGTGGCGCTAGAGCTCAAGTGGTAGAGCATTAGTCTTGAGCTGAAGAGCTGAAGGACAGCGCTCAGGCCCCGAGTTCAAGCCCCATGACCGACAAAAAAAAAAAAAAAAGATATATAAGACAGATAATTCTAGTCCTCTTGGCAATCTAAGACTGATGATTTACTAGTTTTCTTTTTTCTTTTATTTCTACTGTACTGAGGTTCTTGCCTATTTGTTTTCCAATAAGGAATACAACTTCACTCTTGAGTTAACTTTTAAAACTTTCAAATATTTTCGAATGGAAAGAGCTTACCTGGCAGTGTCAATGAGGTATTACAACTGATAAATTCCAAAGAAAATGTGATAGGACTCACTTGAAATAAAATATTTTCAGATCACTATCAATCACTAAGAAAGCACTCACCTTGTATCAAATCCTTTCACAATTGCACCCATGGACTTTGCTGCACCTGCAGAAGCAAGCCCAGCAACACCACCACCAACGATCAGAATCTAGGAAAGAAGAAAGAATCAGTTATATTTTCATTAAAGTTCAATATCCCGTGAGAGTAAAAGATCACCACCTGTCAACTACCAATACCTGGTAAATAATTAACATTCAGTAAATGGTGGTGCCCATGGTGCTGGTAATGACCAGCCCTCCATACCTTGATGAGATGAACAAACTATTTTTTAGCTGAACATCATTGCTTTTAATATTTTATCAAAGGAACAATGGCTGGCAAGGACCAATAACCTCCACTAAAAGTAGCCTGACAATCAGCACCTCAGAGTAAAAGCTATATAAGCACAATCAGCATCGCACGTGTTACAGATTAACAGGTTTATTTTTACTGTGTAAAAGCAACTTTTAGCTGGGTACCTGTGCCTCATGGCTGTAATCCTAGCTACTCAGAAGGCTGAGAGCTGAGGATCGCAGTTCAAAGCCAGCCCCGGCAGGAAAGTCCATGAGACTCTTATCTCCAGTTAACCACCAGAAAACCGGAAGTGGCACTATGGCTCAAGTGGTAGAGCACTTGCCTTGAGCTGAAGAGCTCAGGAACAGTGTCCAGGCCCAGAGTTCAAGCCCCACGACCAACAAAAACAATAAAAATAAGCAACTTCTACTAAATGCCCAGGGTGTCCTTCTTTTTTTTTGTCAGTCGTGGGGCTTGAACTCTGGGCCTAGGCGATGTCCCTCAGCAATTCGGTTCAAGGCTAGCATTCTACCACTTGAGCCATAGCACCACTTTGAGCTTTTTCTGCTAATGTGGTACTGAGGAATCAAACCGAGGGTCTCGTGCATGCAAGGCAAATGCTCTACCACTGAGCTACCTTCCCAACCCTCTAGTGGTTTATTGGAGATAAGAGTCTCAAGAACTTTCCTACCTGGGCTGGTTTTGAACCTCGACCCTCAGATAGCCTCCTAAGTAGCTAGGATTACAGGCGTGAGTCACCGGCGCCCAGTCCAGGGTGTCCTTCTAACTACCTCTGCCCTCTCCAAGTCTAAGATTTTTCCATGAGTGAGAACTACCAAAACATATTTCAAAGACAGTCACAAAATTGGTAAAACATTTACCCAAACTCTTGTTTTGAAATCAAATGCTTCTGGATAACATAGCTAGTGTCCAGAATTCATAACTGAATAAACTATACCTGAAATATGAAATAATAGAACTAATAAACCTAACCATGGAAGGATCAGAGCTAAGAGAACCAAAGAATTCCTGTATATTAAAAAAAAAAAAAAAGCCTCCCCTTCCTTCAAGAAATGAAGAACAATGTTTTTCCAGTCTGGAATGGCCTTCCAGACGAAAGAAAAGTCTTTTTACATATTTCATAAAGAAGCCATTGAAGGAAAGTCCTTCTTTCTACAGAAAAAAAAAAAAAAAAACCGCCACCCACAGAAACCGTGAAGCTTATAAATACCCACCCTCTAATCATGCCCACATCTCTGTCTCCTTCTACCTTTTAAAGAAATCTAGAAGCTGGGTGCTGGTGGTTCATGCCTGTATTCCCAGCTACTCAGGAGGCTGAGATCTAAGAATCATAGTTCAAAGCCAGCCCAGGGAGGAAAGACTGTGAGATTCATCTCTATTCCTATGAATTTTTCTTCTCCTGCATACAAACCATCATCACCAATATTCATTGACATGACCTCTGAAGCCCTAAGTCCTGCCACAGGGTCCTAGGAACACAGTTTTGACTAATCTAGATTCCCTCCCCTCCCGTTCCCTTCCCTCCACCTTCCTTTCCCTCCCCCCTTCCCTTCCTTTTCCTCTCCCCTTCCCTTCCCTCCCCTCCTCTTACCTCCCGTCCCTTCCTTCCCCTGTTTTCCTCGCCCTAACCTCTTTCTCCTTTTTTTCTCTTTTTCCCTCCGCTCCCTCCTTCCTTCCCTCCCTCTCTCCTTCCCTCCCTTCCTTCCTTCCTTTTTTTCCCCCAGTTGTGGGGCTTGAACTCAGGGCACTGTTCCTGAGCTTCTTTTGCTCAAGGCTAGAACTCTACCACTTTGAGCCACAGCTCCACTTCTGGTTTTCTGGTGGTTAATTGGAGGTAAGAGTCTCACAAAAGTTCTACACAAAAGTTCCAACACGGCTAAAGAAAAAGAAAAAAATGAAATAAGTAAAAAAAAAAAAAATTACTAGGTCAATTATCCTAAAACAAGAAATAAGAAAAATGCATGAAATCTTAGTACCCAGGAGACTACAACAGAAGCATCATGGGTTTGAAGCCAGCCTAGACTACATACTGAAATACTGAATTCCAGGTCAGTCTCAGCTATATAGAAAGACTGAGAGGGGTAACACGTTCAATAGAAATGTACTCATTACTCATGTAACTATAACCACTCTGTATAGCATCTTTACAATAAAAAAAATTTTTTTTAAGATGCATGATTACAGTTAAGAGGAATAAATTTCAAGACCTCTATTGTTTAGTAAGGTAACTACAGTTAAGGATGATATATTGTATTCTAGAAAAAATATAGAAAGGACAATATATACTTTCTCTACAAAACTGCCATGAGGTAATGCATATGTTAATTAGGTATGATTAACAATTGTAATATATATGTAAATATATATTGTACATATACTTCAAAATAGAATGCCATATATTTGTTACACCATCAGTCTACCAATATAAAAATGTGTTTAAATTAACAACAAAAATAAATAAATAGCAAAGACTTCATAATTTAAAGAGCAGAATTACGCACAAGTAAAACAATATAGGAGCTACAAAAGAAATTCACTTTTGTTCCTCAGCAAGAATTGAAGAAAAAGAGACTGTCAGAGAGCTTACACTGAAATGATGGCTCTTTTACTAACTAGCTCTGGGTTACCTTGAACAAATTGCCTAACATCTGCAACACAATGAGATCCAATCTAACTAAAGCATACTGCCAACTGACAACAGTCCACACATACATTTAAGAATATAGTGCAAAAGACAAGAGTAAGGCAACACTTGTAGGAATCTTGCTGATATTCAGTCACATACCCAATTCCTCCTCTCAGCAGCCCCAGCTTGTAATGGGCACCAACTGTCCACAAATGCTCTAGCCATCAACAAATACTACTGGTTTTAGCCCCCAAAGATAGCCAGCCACCATTGATCTACCTCCCTGTATCTCTTTCGCCATCCTTTTCCCAGGTATAACAATTCCTAATCTACCTTGTCTTCATTCTTCTGTTTGCTCTCCACCAGAACAGCCAGATACAATTTTTTAACCTTGAATGGTACATTTCCCTTACCTACAAGACAACCAGAACTGCATAGCACGATCTGTAAGAGAGGTCCCATACAATCCAGCTCAGCCTTTCTTCTCACGCCATCTCAGATCACCCTGTACCTGTTCACCATGCTCCATGGCCAGTGGCCTTCTTTGTTTTCCTAGGACACACTAGACTCTTTCCCATCCCAGACCTCTGACATGAGCCATTCCCTTCTCCCTAGCATCTTAAATTCCTGGCTTCTTTCTTCTATCCTCAGATCTCAACTCAAATCTCACAGAAGCCTTCTTGTACTCTAACTTAAGTAGCTGACACATTCATATTACAAACTGTATTGTTATCTGGGTCATCTCCTTTGTATCTAAAGTTAATCTGATATAATCCTGCTTTTTATTTGCATCTAACTCTGACCCCTCCACACACACTGGAATAGAACTTTTGTGCAGAAAGAATATGGGTAAGAACACTGTAATACTAACAATATTGTTATTCAGGTCATATCCCCTGCTCCTACAACATGATTTGCATGGCAACTCATAAGACTTCTACTAATTTTAGTTTTATCTAGGCCAGTAAAAACTTTCCATATTTAAAAGAAATCCAAATAAAAAATTATGCATAGTGATCCTAATTAGTATCTAATTCTTCAATTTCAGGAAACTATTTGACATACAACTAAAATCTCTTAAACTGAATTTAAATTTTACTTTAGTGAAATTGATTAAGAACAAATAGAAAGATGAAACATTTTGGAAGGGATAGTAGGAAAAAAACAAAGGAGGGGGTAACTGTTCAACAAGAAATGTACTCATTACCTTACTCATGTAACTAACCCCTCAGTACAGCATCTTTACAATAAAACTTGAAAAAAAAAAAAGATGAAACATTTAAGACCTCACTAAATTCTTCCTTCAAGCCTTTGGTTTTCGGCTACACTTTTTAACCTCATATCACAGTTTTCTTCTCAACTTCCACAAGTTTTAAAAGGACTCAAATAAAAACTAAGTAGTGGAGTTGGGCATCAAAGCAATCAGCCAGGGCTGGGAAGGTGGCTCAGTGGTAGAGCACTTGCCTTGCAAAGCAATCAGCCAGTGGGCTTCTGGCCACCTTGCGCCAGATGTTTGGTTTTGATCGTACAAAGGATTTATTTCAAATATCATATCATATCACACTTCCTTGCTAAGTATTCTGGTCTACACTTTAATCACCTGTTGTTTTCTTTCACTTGACCTGTTTTCAAACAATATGTGACTAGATTTCTGAAAGCTGCTATTTGGTGTGTGTTTGTTGTATAAAAACTGTATAAAAACTCTGGGTTTATATAATAAAGCATTTAAAAGCAAGAAGCCTATAGCTGCAGGCAGGTAGATAACAACATGGAGGGTTCTTCTTCCTGTGCCTAGACCCAAGGTCTATATTACTATTGAAAGTCACAACATAACCCCCTGTTTTTTTGCTTAGCCATCATTAACTGCTTCCCTCTCCCAATCTGGATTCAGAAGCAGAACTCTTCTCCTCTGCCAAGTTCCAAGTACACACTTCCCATTTTTCTGTCCTCTTGACCCAAAAATTGACCAGAAGTGAAGAAACCTAAAAGGTTCAATCTATGAACTAAAATGTTGCAATAACTGAGAAACCTAGAATTTGTGAATATATCCTGAGGTTTTTTTACACAGGTATAATCATGCCCGCAAACTAAAATCTCTTTAAGAATTCAAGTTACTAGGGGCTGGGAAGGTGGCTCAGTGGTAGAGCGCTTGCCTTGCATGCTCGAGGCCCTGGGTTCGATTCCTCAGCACCACATAAGCAAAAAGAAAAAAGCCGGAAGTGGTGCTGTGGCTCAAGTAGTAGAGTGCTAGCCTTGAGCTGAAGAGCTGAGGGACAGCGCCCAGGCCCAGAGTTCAGGCTCCATAACCGAACCCAAAAAAAAAAAAAGAAAAAAGAATTCAAGTTACTAAATAAAAAACAGAAAGATAAGAAGTAAACTAAAATTTAAAGAACCAGAACTTCCAGAAAAGGGAGTTCATTATAGCTCCACCATAAATTTGTGAGTGCCACAAAAATCATCCAGTAGAGCTAACACACAATAAAACTTGTAAATCACTCTATTTTAAGACTACACATATCCTTGCTTTTCATGAATATGCATTATGAACAAACACTAAAAGATGTACTTACCTTGGCTGGAGGAACTTTTCCAGCAGCTGTGATCTGACCAGTAAAAAAACGTCCAAAATGATTTGCTGCGAGGACAACGGCCTTATAACTAAAAAAAAAGGAGGGGGGATAATTCCATACAATGAAAACTTTTTTTTTTTTTTTTTGGTCGGTCGTGGGGCTTGAATTCTGGGCTTGGGTGCTGTCCTTGCGCTCTTCAGCTCAAGGCGAACACTCTACCACTAGAGCTACAGTGCCACTTCCTGCCTGGGCTGGCTCTGAACTGTGATCCTCAGATCCTAGCCTCCTGGGTAGCTATTATTACAGGCATGAGCCACGGGTGACCGGCTAACAATGAAAACTTTTAAGCCCACATATTTTTTTTACAAATACTACTTTTAGTTGATAAGTTAGGAAAATAAAACAGAGAAATGAGCAGACTAGCCGACTGCCAGCACTCAGCAGCCTGCTTTACAGAGTCATGCTCCTATCTATGACGCCATTCCACCTCTTCCTAACCCATACTGCAGTGGATGCATTGAGGAAGAAAAAGGAAAGAAAGACATGAAAATGCCAACGATGCTCTTTTTGGGTGCTGAGACTTTATATCTTTCAGATTTGTCCTTTTACTTTTCTTATGTTGTCCTAATTTTCTTCTATGACTAACTATGGAGGGCTTAAATGTAAGGGATGGGACAAAGAAGGACTTGGGATTTTGTTGATCGTTTGAGATTTTGAGACTGAATATAGCTTTGTGCCCTTAGGAAAAGTCTTTAACTCTTGGTGTCCTCATCTATAAAGTAGAGACAAGAAGGGTATTTATCTCTGAGAGCTGGACTAAATGATAAACCGAAGCACAGATCATGAGGTGAGAGCATGATGAATTGCCTGCGCTCGATCAATATTCAATCAAACATTAATTATTTTAGCTATGACAAGTTATGCAGTAAAAACTAACCCATGTGTACCATCTTTTCTTTAATAGGATATTTTAGATAGATTACAGTAATCAATTTTCATATTTTATATTTAAAAGGTACTTTCGTACATGGTTACATTATTATTTCTCAGACATATAATACAACTGTTTAATGTGAAAATCACCAGTAACTGGCAACAAAACCTCTCCCTGATCAGATCTTATATTCTAATGTCTAATAAAACTGATGTAAAAACATGTAACAGACACCATCATGGCTTCAAGTTAATCACACTGGAGCAGGAAAACCATATTTGTAGACAGACAATAAGAATGTTTCTGGGCTGAGCACCGGTGGCTCACATCTGTAATCCTAGCTACTCAGGAGGCTGAGATCTGAGAATCTCAGTTCAAAGCCAGCCCGGGCTGGAAAGACCATGAGACTCTCATCTCCAATAAACCACTCAGAAAACCTTAAGTGGTGCTGTGGCTCAAGTGGTAGAGCGCTAGCCTTGAGCGGAAGAGCTGAGGGACAGCGCCCAGGCCCAGAGTTCAAGCCCCATGACCGACAAAAAAAAAAGAATGTTTCTGGACACTACTGCTGTCAGCTCTTATCAGACTTATTTACATAGCCTTTTAACGTTGCTCAAAAGAATCTAAAGTTAAAACCACTAATCCAGGGCTGGGAAGGTAGCTCAGTGGTAGAGCGCTTGCCTTGCATGCATGAGGCCCTGGGTTCGATTCCTTAGCACCACATAAGCAAAAAAGAAAAAAGCCGGAAGTGGTGCTGTGATTCAAGTGGTAGAATGCTAGCCTTGAGCTGAAGAGCTGAGGGACAGCGCCCAGGCCCAGAGTTCAGGCCCCACGACTGGACCCAAAACAAAAAACAAAAAAAACCCACTGATCCACAGCTATTCTTTCACTTGTGTACATTTCAGGTAACAGAATTAGCATACCCTTATAACTTTATATTGTATATTTTCCATACAAAAAAAATTTTTTTGGGGTCCGGTCGTGGGGCTTGAACTCTGGGCCTGGGCGCTGTCCCTCAGCTCTTCAGCTCAAGGCTAGCGCTCTACCACTCAAGCCACAGCGCCACTTCCGGCTTTTTTCTTTTTGCTTATGTGGTGCTGAGGAATCGAACCCAGGGCCTCCGGCTTGCAAGGCAAGCACTCTACCCTGAGCCACCTTCCCAGCCCTCCATACAAAATTTTTAGTCTTACATCCCATAAGTCATTTATAAGCTAAGTAAACACAAAAGCAATTTTCTGCTTTGTGTGTTATCTGTACCACAAATAAAATCTTCAAGCAAAGTGTTTACCACATTACATTAAGGAAAATAAAGTATGTTTTAACTTGTCATTTTTGTTTATGTTGTCTTATTCACATCAAAAGGGAATGGCTGAAACATGAAGTAGATCTCATGACATATTTGATATGCTACATCCAAAATATAAAACCAAAGAAAATTTTTAAATCATGAGTCTGGAAAAGGTTTCTTTTCATATTGGCCTGTTGTTTTGGTTTTTATCTCCATGCACTTTGAATAGTTTTCATCACAAAATATAATCTGATTCTTAGAGAAGATTTCATAAGCATGATTCTATTTTTCATTTTTCCATCCTCTCAGGCAAAGTCAGCAATATACCAAAATCATGTAATTGCTTCTTTCCCTCATAACATGGCAGGCAGACTACACAGCCACCTTCCTCCGAGTAGAACAGATCTTAGAATCCTCCTCAACCTAACGTTCTAGGCAGTAACAGGACTGTAAGGTGCTGGCAGGCAAGTGTAGTTCATTGCCACCCTAATCTCAGAGTAAGAAGACATAGCCCTCAGTTATAAATGTAAGCCTTCCACTAGGCACCAGTGGTTCACACATGTAATCCTAGCTACTCAGGAGGCTGAGATATGAGGATCATGGTTTAGAAAGTAGTGCTGACAAGAAAAATACATGAGACTCTTACTTCCACTTAAGCACAAAAAGCTGGAAGTGGAGCTGTTGTCAAGTGGTAGAGCACTAGTCTTCAGCAAAATTGCTTAGGGACAACACACAGGCCCTGAGTTCAAGTCCCAGTACTGGCACCAAAAACACAATTTTTTGGGGGTGCTTTCCCTTAGCGTTTTGCTCAGTCTTTTTTTTTTTTAATTGTGAAAATATTGTACAGAGGGGTTACAATTACATGGGCAAGATAATGAGTACATTTCTTATCAAGCATTGTAGCCTCCTCCTTTGTTTCCCCTTCCCATCCCTTCCTATCTTCCCCCTGCCCCCCAAAAAAAATTTTTAAAAAGTAAGCCTTCCTTGAGTATGACATTTTACTTCTCTATTCAACAAATATTTTAAGAGTTTATCTATACAATTAGGACAGCAGTCTAGATATGTAGTGATATATTGCTAGGAAGCTTATAATCCCAACTGTAAAGAGGCTGAAGCAGAAGAATTAGTTTAAGGCCAGCCTTAAGCAAAATCCTTCTCAAGAACAAAAGAATGAACAAAAAAAAGGAAGGGAAGGGAAAGTGGGGGAAGGGATGAAGGATATAAAAGAAGGGAAGAAAAAAAAGGGAAGAGAAAGAGAAAGGGAAAGGAGTGGAGAAGAGTAGAAGGAAGGAAGAAATGAAGGGAGGAAAGAAGGGAGAAAAGGAGAGAGGAAGTGGCAAGGAGATGGTCAATCAGCTTGTGTGTGTGTGGGTGTGTGTGGGTGTGGGTGGGTAGGTGGGTGTGGGTGTGGGTGTGGTCGTGCGCGCGCGCGCGTGCGCGCACGCAAACACACACACACACAAGCGTGATTCTGTGTATACATGTCAAACATCTCTAATTCAAAAATCCTACATCACACTCACTAGACACTATGCTGAAAATGAACTATATAATTTGTAGGGGAAGGAAGCCAGGAAGGAAAAACATGGGAGAAAATGAGAGAAGGGATGACACTGTTCAAAGAAATATACTCATTACATGATTATGTAACCGTAACCCTTCTGTACATCACCTTTACAATAAAAATAAATAAATAATAATCCTACAGCAAAAACTGGCATGAAACTATAACCAGAATAGGCCACACCTGATCTTATGTGATGGATTATAATCAAAACACAGGTGCCCCAGAGCTGAGAATGCTCAAGCATACAGCATCTGCTCAGCAAGCACGAGTCCTACAGTTCAAACCCCATTGCTACTCTATCTCAAAAAATATGAAAAATAAATTTAGCCAGACACCAGTGGCTAATGTTTTGCCAGCCCTGGTAGATGTGTCTGAAAGACTCTTATCATCAATTAACCAACAAAAACCTAGAAGTGGAGGTGTGGCTCAACTGGTAGAGCCCTAACTTTTAAGAAAAAAGCTTAGGGACAGCACTCAGGCCCTGAATTCAAGCCCCAGGACAGGCACCAAAAAAAAAGAGGGGTACAATTAAGCCCATTTCCTATGTAATCACTGCAACTAAAATGTGGATCATAAAAATAATGGAAGTACACTCAAAAAATGCTATAATCTACAACCATGATTACATGCAGAGAGAAGAGCTACAATATATTTGTGTACTGCCACTGTGCTTCTGCTCAACTGAAATAGAAAAGAATCAACTTACCCAGCAATGTTGGCCATGGAGCTGAGAGCATCATATCCCTGAGCAATTGTAACTCTCGGAACCTGGTCCATTGCCAAAACCGTACTTTTTCTTTCGGAAAGTTTATTTAGCAGGTCTGGATTTTGGGCTGGGTAAATAAAACTTATCAGTGTTCCTGATGGCTTCAAAAGGTCAGCTTCGTGAAGACCTAAGGTAGGATTAACCATGGGGGCTCGAACCTGAAAGTAGGGTCAATCACACATTAAAAACATGAATTCCTTCACATTTTTTGGTGAGGAAGACAACTTAAATAATACATCATTGAGATAAGATTACAGAAGAATAAACTGGACACCAGTGGTTCACACCTGTAATCCTAGTAACTCAGCAGGCTGAGATCTGAAGATCACAGTGCAAAACCAGCCTGGAAGGGAAATCTATGAAAATCTTTTCTCCAGCAAACTACTCAGAAAAAGTCAGACATGGCACTGTGGTTCAAATGGTAGAATGCTAGCCTTGAGAAAAGATGCTTAGGGACAACACCCAGGCCTTGAGTTCAAACCCTAGGACCAGCACCAAAAAAGAGAGCCACCCCAGGTCAAATAATGTATTAATGATAGTATAATGATGTCTAAATGTTTATATTACAGATTTATCAACACACCTCTAACATGTTCATATACATTATGCACTCCTAAAAGAAAATAGTATTTGCAAAATACACTCCTATCATCTTTTCTTGAGAGACACTGCAAAGTATCTGCCTCCCTAAATTATACATCGGCATGGATTGTACTATTTTCTATTACCTTTAAATTCCTTTACTGCATATCAAGTGACATTACCAAGTAGATAAACCCAAAACTTTAAAATACTGATTTACAACTTATCTCTATACCATAATTTTCACTACTAATTTTCTTTTTTTTTTTTTTTGGGGTCCGGTTGTGGGGCCTGGGCGCTGTCCTTCAGCTCTTCAGCTCAAGGCTAGCGCTCTACCACTTGAGCCACAGCGTCACTTCCAGCTTTTTTTCTTTTTGCTTATGGGTGCTGAGGAATCGAACCCAGGGCCTCATGCATGCAAGGCAAGCGCTCTACCACTGAGCCACCCTCCCAACCCCAATTTTCACTACTAATTTTCTATAGCAATAATCATATCATCTACCAAAAACAAAAATCATCATTTAAGATCCTGTTGGGGCTGAGGCTGGAGCTCATTTTTACCATGCTAACAGTACTGGGCTCAATCCCCAGGACCTCCCAAAAAAAAATCTTCTAGAACTGTTAAATGGGGGGGTGAGAAGGGAGAGACAACTATGTGATTAATTCCTGGTAAAAATTAATATGAAACTGCTTGTTGGGCTGGGAATGTTGCTTGCCTAGCATGTATGAAGCCCTGGGTTTGATTCCTCAGTATCACATAAGCAGAAAAAGCCAGAAGTAGCACTTTAGCTCAAGTGGTAGAGTGCTAGCCTTGAATAAAAGAAGCTCAGGGACAGTGCCCAGGCTCCAAGTTCAAGCCCCAGGACTGGCAAAATGACAAAGAAAAACCACTCATTTTTCAGTAGAAAACCTGGTTTTAATCTGGTAATGATGTCTGCATTGATTGTAGGACATTTAGGATGTAGTTTAATGCTTAGCTTTAATTTCCATCTAGTATACACTCGATACAGTCTCCTCATTTAGATGATTTTTTTGGGGGTGGGGCCTGGGTGCTGTCCCTGAGCTCAAGGCTAGCATTCTACTACTTTGAGCCACAGCACTACTTCTGGTTTTTCTGGTGGTTAATTGGAGATAAGAGTCTCTCAGACATTCCTGCCCAGGCTTACTTTGAACTGCAATCCTCACTTCTCAGCCTCCTGAGTAACTAGGATTACAGACATGAGCCATCAGCACCCAGCTTACTTGATTTTTTTTTTTAATTCTAAAGTTCTTTAGCATATAGATTTCTACCACATTACCTCAAGAACTTATTTTAAGAAGACTACTTGCCATTCAACCCAATGCTGAGAATTCTTTTTTTTTTTTGGGGGGGGGGTCCGGTCGTGGGGTCTGAACTCGGGGCCTGGGCGCTATCCCTCAGCTCTTCAGCTCAAGGCTAGCGCACTACCACTTGAGCCACAGCGCCACTTCCGGCTTTTTTCTTTTTGCTTATGTGGTGCTGAGGAATCGAATGAACCCAGGGCCTCAAGCATGCAAGGCAAGCGCTCTACCACTGAGCCACCTTCCCAGCCCCAATGCTGAGAATCCTTTAGAATAGTCTCTCCCTATCCAGAAATAGCACTACAGAATGTCCATGTAAATCACTGAGCCTTCACATATCAGATATTGTCCATTTAGTCCTGGGCAGTCCTTCCATTCTGGCAGTCAACACGCATCTGTAGGTAATCTGGTATATAGAGGACCATATACAATGTATTTGCCCTAGGCAATTTTAAAAGGATATTTCCACAGATTAAATATAAAAATGAAGATCTCGGGCTGGGAAGGTGGCTCAGTGGTAGAATTCTAGCCTGGAGCTGAAGAGCTGAGGGACAGCACCTAGGCCCAGAGTTCAGGCCCCACGACTGGACCCAAAAAAAAAAAAAAAAGAAGATCTCTTTATCCCTTCTCACAGTTACTAAACATAGGTCACATTACTTGACAAAAATTCTATGAAGCATGAAGAACATTCACAACAGACAATCATTTCTTTGAGAAAAGGGGCATCATTCAAAAATAGGAAAAGCTGAAATGACCAATGTATACAGTGATGGGTACATTAATTACCCTGATTTGAGCATTGTACATTATAAACATATCAAAATATAACACTACATAATAAATAGACAATTACTATGCATTAATTTTTTAAACAATCAGTAGGAGTGACTCCTGTCTATATTCCTAGCTACTCAGAAGGACCTTGGTTAAAGGACAGTGCACAAAGAAAGTTCTCAAACCCCATTTAATCAATTAAAAGCTATGCATGGTAATGAAACGTAGGTAGGAAGACCTTTTTCCAGGCAACCCTATGTATACATATGAGATCTCAAATAACCAATAAAAAGGAATGGTGATGTGTTTTCAAGTGGCAAAACACCATTCAGCAAACATGAGGCCCTGAGTTCAAACCCCTGTACTAAAGAAAACAGAAGAGAAGAAAAGAAAAGGAAGGAGGAAGAGGAAAGCGGAAGGGAAAGGTAAAGGGGAAGGGGAAGGGAGAAAGATGACACTGAAAAACCTTGAACACCAGAAAAAGTTAATTTTCTACAATTGGATTTCAAAGAGTTAGCATGCAATAAATGAAAAAAATAAAATGTAAAAATTACTTTGACCACCAAATCAGAAGCCAGCACTTCCCTTGTCCCTTGGATTTGAGCTCCTGCTGCTCTGTAGTGATCATCTGAGAACTTAGAAGCTTCACCTGCACCAGATTCCACAACAACATTAAAACCTTGCTTGACTAAGGCCTGAACACCAGCAGGAGACAATGCCACTCGCTTCTCATTTTGGAAGACCTCCTTGGGAACACCAACAGTCAGTTGCTTATATGGAATTCCTACAAAAACAAGGTAAACAACAACAAAAAATATATTTAGCAACAGATTTCAGGAAATGGAAATAAGCAGTCTTTTCTTCAAAAATTACTACATACTGGGCTGGGAAGATGGTTCAGGGGTAGAGTGCTTGCCTTGCATGCATAAGGCCCTGGGTTCAATTCCTCAGCACCACATAAGCAGAAAAAGCCAGAAGTGGCACTGTGGCTCAAGTGGTAGAGTGCTAGCCTTAAGCTAAAGAGCTGAGGGACAGCGCTCAGGCCCAGAGTTCAGGCCCCACAACCGACAAAAAAAAAATTACTACATACAAGTTGCTATTTAAAATGATGACCTAACAGTGCTTTTTTTCTCATATGTATATCTTAGGCCTCAAGCATAACCTCCACGTACTCCATGTAAATAAATATACACAGGGACATATGCATACATATATGACCAAACAGGAGTAAAATTCCATGGTATAAACCCTTGAAACAATTTTTAAAAATGAATAGCATGAAGGTGAAACATGTTTTAAATAGGAAATATAGGGGGAAGGGATGAAAGGAAAAGGGAATAGTGGATGTATACAATTATACTCAATGTACATATATGAAAAAAGAAGTGTAAAACTCAATGTAACTGGTGGGTAGGGATAGATGTAGCACAATTCATATAAATGGAAATGTTAATTTGTAATCTTCTATAAATCATTTAAAGATAAAAATGAATAAAAATTTTAAAAAGTAAATGATGATTCATAATCATAAGCCCTCTACCTTTTTTGGTAAATGATAATTTTTTATTCCCCCTCTCCTGAAAGGTCTAAATATTTTATTTAATCCAAGGGATCTTGACAAACTTACTTTATTCTTAGGAGGAAAAAAAATAGGATGAAGCCGGGTGCCGATGGCTCATGCCTGTAATCCTAGCTACTCAGGAGGCTGAGATCTGAGGATTGTAGTTCAAAGCCAGCCTGGGCAGGAAAGTCTATGAGACTCTTATCTCCAATAAACCACTAGAACACTGGAAGTGGTGCTGTGGCTCAAGCAGTAGAGCGCTTGCCTTGAGCTGAAGAGCTGAGGGACAGGGCCCAGGTCCAGAGTTCAAGCCCCACAACCAACAAAAAAAAAGAATGAAAGATCACACACAGCATGCTAAGGGAACTTTTTCAATTAACTCTTTCAATCCCTCTGGATTATGGTCTTAAATAAATCACTCTTTTGAAGAAAAGTCCTGTACTACATACTTGAGGTCCTGACATACCCCTAGTCCCTTCCCTGATGACTGGCCATAGGCAATTCCTCAGAGATTTCCAAGTGTTATATCTATACTCTTAGCAAAAAATGATTAGACAAGGGGCTGGGAAGGTGGCTCAGTGGTAGAGCGCTCACCTTGCATGCCTGAGGCCTTGGGTTCTATTCCTCAGCACCACATAAGCAAAAAGAAAAAAGCCGGAAGTGGCACTGTGGCTCAAGTATAAAGTGCTAGCCTTGCGCTGAAGAGCTGAGGGACAGCACCCAGGCCCAGAGTTCAGGCCCACAACCGGACCAAAAAAAAAAAAAAGATTAGACAAGGCCTCCTCAACTAGGTCAAAGATAATCATCTGTAAGGAAAAACAGTATCCCAGCCAAGGAGATGACTTATGCAGGAATGGTGCTCAAGGACACTGTGTTAGCTGGTGACCTACCCATCCAATCACAAATTCAATGATTCAATTGGTGACTAACCAATCAACTCATAAACTCAATACATTCAAATCTTCTGAGAGGTTAGAATGAGAGGCTCAAAGAAAGAGACAAAAAGAGGAGAGTTGAGTGGTACTGAAATTATCTGTAAGCACAACTATAAAGTAATCAAAGGGAGCTCAACAGCACAACAGTACTAAATAAAGGGAGAAGATGAGTCATAGCTAGGAAATTGAGAATAACATTCCATTTCTTCAGGAAGCACCTAACGGGTATCATGGGCTCTCTATCATTCTTCCCAACAATACAAATAAACAAACCTGCATCACAAAATATAACTTGATATGATTCAGTTTCATGCAGCCCAAAACATCTTACAATATGGGCTTATAAGGTAACTGTGAACATACATAATAAAAGATGAATCAAATTATCAACACAGAATAATTTATGGAGCCCTTAGAGTGGTTAAGTCAACCTAAAAGTACTTGAATTGGAGAAGTAAAAAACAGGTAAATATTTAGATGGATGCAGAAAATTAAGTCACATATACTTATCTGGAGTCTACTTATCTAACAGCCTCAAATCTAAAACACTACATACTAAAAATCAAGTACATTACCAAAGATGACCAAAGTTATATGAGAAATATTTAGGAGTCAACTAAAATGGCTTCCACTGGGCTGGGAAGCTGGCTGAGTGGTAGAGCGCTTGCCTTGCATGCCTGAGGCCCTGGGTTCGATTCCCCAGCACCACATAAGCAAAAAGAAAAAAAGCCGGAAGTGGTGCTGTGGCTCAAGTGGTAGAGCGCTAGCCTTGAGCTGAAGAACTGAGGGACAGCGCCCAGGCCCAGAGTTCAGGCCCCACGACCGGACCCAAAATAAATACATAAATAAATAAATAAATAAATTTAATGGCTTCCACTAACCAAACAGGATAACTCAAACATCAAATAGAATATTAATGCTGGAAGTGGAATAAAACATGTCCAAAGTGTTATAATCCAGGAGTTTGTATTGATTCTCAAAAAAAAAAAAAAAGTATCTTAAAATTGTTTGGACCAGTACTGAACTTCAATCCTCTCATCTTCAGCCCCGAAGCAACTGTCCTTCATTTTTAAGTTTGTGTTACTATTAATGTATTCACCAAACTGCCAGGCTTTTGAATTCTTATGTCTGCCTAAAATAGAATTCATAGCCTCTTTCCTCCTGCTCAGGTGACACAAGTGGCAGCGTATATTTTGCTAAGAGTTCCCAACTTGATCTCCAGATATTTTGTTTTAAATAACTCTGACAAGTCAGGTCATAGTATGACAAAAACAAAAGCAAGTAAATGTATTGAGGATATGAGGATTGTCCTTATGAGTAAATTTATGAACACCAATTTTAATAATGTTCCATTTTATATATAGATAGATAGATAGATACATATACATATATATATATACACATACACACACAAGACTTTTAGGTTTGGTTTCTGATCATCAATTTATATTATTTTTTAATCTCTAAAAGATATTCTTTTTTTCTAAATGAAAAGTGTTATGACCACACTGAAAAGTATGGCAAGCAATCCCAGTCAGCATTCATGTTTTTCCACTTGTTCTTTTTCTCTTTCATTCTTTCTGTTTTCACTGTTCAAAGAATGACCTTGCTGACCCAATATCTGGGAGGCAGAAACTGGAGTTCACCATTCAAGGCCAACATGGGCATAAACATTTACAAAATTCCATCTGATTTAATGGCTGAGCAGTACCATGCACCTATCCTAACTACAAAGAAAACACTATGACTGAACAAGGTTTGGCACCCGTGTCATTCCCAGTCACTCAGGGAAGTACAAATAGCAGGATCATAGCCCTGGCCAGGCCTAGTAGAAAATGAGACCCTACCAACACAAAAAAGGAACTGAAAACATGGCTCAGCAATAGAGTGCTGGGCTAGCAAGCAAGAGGCCCTAAGTCCATTCCCTAGTATTGCCTAAAAAGAAAAGCTTATCCATCCTATCCTCCATTATGAAGCCAAATGCCATTTTCAGCTTGACATATTGCTCTCTGGAACAAAAGTATAAATGTCTAAGGCTCCTGCGCACACAGCCATATGCCTGAGGTCTAACCAGTGAAGGGCAGATAGAAATGCTTGGATGATCTTTGCAAAGTCTGTGAAGAGAGGTGACTCAGCTTAAAAGGACCCCCTTTAGCCTCTCCTCTTTCTGGCCTACATCCCTGAACAGAAACATGAAAGGGTCCTATCAAGGAAGGCATTGCAAGCCACTGGAAAATTTCACTCTTACTCTGTATGGGCTAGGAAAGTAATAATGAATTCTGAAGAGAATACTGACATGATATTTCAACTTTAAATAGATTATTCTCAGAGTCTTATGCAGAATAGACTGTAGGATAGGAAAGGGAGGAAGTAAAAGACAATTTAAGAGACTAATACAGCAGTCCAGTGGCAGACAATGGTTTGTATCAAAAGGAGGTGAGGGCAGATCACAGACAAGGCAGAGATGGCTTCAACCTACTCATAGCATGTAGGAGGACTCCAAGGAGTTTCACCTAAACAACGACAATGAACTTGCCATTTATTAAATTGGGAACAATATAGATTAATTGATAGCCTTAAATCCAAATCCCTGAGCCGAAGTGAGCTATGTACAGTACAGTTCCCTTATGTATCTAGTAACAGGGGAGACTACTACTAGAAATAGTTACTATGAGTAATAGGCACCCAAGAACAGCTCAACTGCTTTACCTTTTTCCTTTTTCTATTTTTTTTCCTTTCTATTAGAAATGGCAATCAGGAAGTTCTAGACATGAAAAATATAAGATAGATCGCACTTTTTTTTTTTAATGATCACCTGCAAGCAAGCACAAGGTCATAAAACTGAACGGCTTGCTCTTTATCAGCAAAAGAGCTATTAGCTCCTAAGACTTGAAACAAACATTGCAATAAGACATTACCTGGTTTCCCAGGGGATTTACACCACAGTTCCTGATGTGTGTGAAATGTTCGTACAAAATTCTTCCTCCCAGGTAGAACCTTACAGGACCCCAAATTGCTTAGCAAAGGACACGAGCAGCCAGTCACCACTGTTTTCAATAGGTTTGCCATGATGGTATGAATTCCCAACTTTCCAAACTCCGATGTCCTTGAAGGAAAATCTCTAAGAAGAAAGAAAGAAAATGTTTAGATGCCAAGACTCCCATGATATTTACCACACAGGCTTGTGCTTGCAGATGTGGTAAACTGTGAGCTCTGTTGAATGTGGTTCTCACAAAGTGGATATATGTTTCCTACTTTAACAAGGTGAACTGTGGCTAGCTTTTGCTGTTACTGAGGCTCCTTCATCCACCCCATGCACTCTCCTCGGGACACATGGAAGGCACTCCCACCATCTCCACAAGTCCTGATGTTCCCCCACCTTTCTCAGCTTTCCTTCCAGACTAGAAAAAAGCATATGCATGCACAGAGCCAAACACAGAACCCAGTGGACTCCATGAACATTCCTCCAGACTCTACAGGAAGAAGGATGCAGCTCAGTTTTAATTTCAGAACTGTTGCCACAACTCCCCAAAGAAGCATCCTTTAAAATGTCAGAAAGAAACACTGGTAGTGGAAATTCTCAATCCAAGCAGTGCTAACTCAAAAGATACCCTTTAATTCAACAAATATGTGCCTGGGGACAGGTTTTGGCAAGCCTAAGGAACACTTGCAGAATCAAACTGGACTGGGTCATCCACTTGGAGATAAGAAAAGCAATAACATTACAAAGTGAAGTGGTGCAAGTTCAGAGTTCTTTGATGGATCAAAGAGGAGATCTTTTTTTTTTTTAATCTATCCTTTAGTTCAAAAGGAAAAGGCATTTGAGACCGAATAAAACAAAAGCTAAAGAGAGGGCGCATGCAATGCTATTGTCTTCAGGTATGCAATTAAAAATGAGTCTGAAGGCTGGGCGCTGGTGGCTGACATCTGTAATCCTAGCTACTCAGGAGGCTGAGATCTGAGGATCAGTTCAAAGCCAGCCCAGGTAAGACAGTCCATGAGACTCTTATCTCCAATTAACCACCAGAAAACCAAAAGTAGACCTGTAGCTCATAGTAGTAGAGTGCAAGCCTTGAACAAAAGAGCTAAGAGATAGCACCCAAGCCCTGAGTTCAAGCCCCATAGCCAACTAAAAAATATAAATAAAAATGAGTCTTATTAATCCTTCACATTTGTATAAATGGCTTAAATTTAGTCTTCCCATTTCAGCCCTAAATCATTCACAAGTCCTAGGAATATCCTCCTCACTCATTCATGGGTCACATGTAGGTCCACTCATAGCTAAGAATGGAAAGCAAACTCAAAATTCAGTCACATGTTACCAAGTGGAGTCATATCTGTAATCCCACCTACTTGGAAGTCAGAGATCAGGAAAATTGATGTTCCAAACCACACAGGCAAAAAGTTAGTGAGACTCCATCTCAACAATCAAGTATGCATGCTGGTACATACCTAGATTCCTAGCTACATGGGGGGACATACATAGGAGGATCAAGGTCCAAAGTCAGTCAGGGCAAAAAACTTGAGACCCTGTCAGAACAATAACCTAAAGCACAAAGAGCTGGAAGTATAGCTCAGTTTGGTAAAGCACTTGAGGACAGAGGGCTCTGAGTTCAAACACCCATACTGAAAGAAAAAAAAAGTTCAGCCAAATATTCCAAATGTTTATTGAAATCTATGCCAAGGAAGAACTGAGGGCAATATAAAGGTATTACAAATATATGTATTATAAATATATATAAATATAAATACATATATAAATATATTATAAATAAAAGATAGTGCTTGTTTTGAGGGAGGGATTTTTTTTTCCTGACATCACTTAAATAACTTTTTCCCCCCGTGGGGCTTGAACTCCAGGCCTGAGCGATGTCCCTGAGCTCCATTTCTAAAAGCTAGTGTCTACCACTTTGAGCTACAGCACCACTTCCAGTTTTCTGGTGATTAACTAGAGATAAGAGTCCACAGATTTTTCCTGCCTGGGCTGGCTTTTAACCCTGATCCTCAGATCTCAGCCTCCAGAGTAGCTAGAATTACAGACTTTAGCCACCAGTACTCAGTTAAACAACCTACTCTTATCCCAACCTCCCTACTTAGCTGTCTTTCTCTTCCTGGGTCATTCCAATTCTCACAGGGCTGACTAAGCGATCCCAGACTTCATCAGCAAATGAATGAAGCTGGCTCCAATAAAGCCTAGTATTGTTCAAGTTTGATAACCCTGACAGTTTGAGCTGATTCTCTCACACATCATTCTGATTTAGAAAAGTAGCAGAGGAAAACAACAACTTTCTAGGGTCCTTTTAGGTTTTAAAATCCTCGTGTCAAATGAACGTTCACAATGTTTGAAAACTGAAGTCCTATTTCATGGCGTGAAGTCTGGAAAATGGTAACTTGGTATTTAACACATACTTGAGGTTTCAGACATCAGGAGAACCAAGACTTTCAGAGACTAATTAATTTCTTTTTTTAAAAAGTACACTTCAAGTTGTAAACACACAGGGCAGAGACCAGGAGGTAGTTTATTGGCTAAAGAACATCTTAAACCACCTTGTCATTGGCCAGTTTCTCCATCTCAACAGTCACATCTCCTCATTGCATCTTTACTTCAAATGTGTCTTGTGACCATTCATGTGTTTTTATGCCTTTGAAACAATATGGGCAATATTTACAACTAAAAATTTACATAAATTACTTATTTAGTATGCATGCATATGGTTGTTGAATGTAAGTTATATGAACACCTATCTTTCCAGAACAGTGTGTGTGGTGTGTATGTGCATGCATGAGCGTGTGTGTGTGTGTGTGTGTGTGTGTGTGTGTGTGTGTGTGTGCATGTGTGTGGTTCTGGAGATGGAACCCAGAGCCTCAAGCATGCTAGGCAAGCATTCTACCACAGAGCTGCATCCTCAGCCCTACCCTAGTAGACATTAAAATCCTTGGAAGTAAGCACTGAATCTAGCAAAGGAATACTGGATAGAATTTAAGAGGGTGAGCTCTGGGCTGGAAGTCCCTTCTGCCCTTCCACTATCTGTGTAACCTTGGCAACTCACTTAATTTCTCTGTACCCGATTTTATCATCTTTAAAATGAGAATAATAATGACATCTACTACAAATGGCTTCTCCTGAGGGTTTTAAAACAAAATACTCTGGCCAGAGTTGTTGAGAAAATTAAAAGAACAGGACATCTGGCTAGCTGTTATATTCACTTTCCAATGACCTGTAGCCCAGAGCTTTGTATAAAAAAGAGACGTCAATAAGTATTTTTGGACTGAAGGACTGGATAATCAACCGGTTATTCTAGAGCTTGGTTACCTATTAAACATTCTCCAAGTATTTTCAGAAAATGTCCTTTGAAAATAACATGTTTGACCAAGCATGGTGATCCATGCCTGGAATCCCAGCTACTATTCAGGAAGTGGAGACAGAAGGACTGCAATTCGAGGCTAGCCCAAGATAATGCGAAATTAGCTAAAGACCTTATCTGAAAATAAAGTAAAGGCAAAAAGATTTAGGAGTATGGCTCAAATGGTAGAAGCTTGTTTGCTCCAGGACTAAAGTTCAATCTCCAGTACAGCAAAAACTTTAAAAAGACAAATGGAATGTTTGTAAAGACCTGTGGAGCTGGGTACTATTATTGGCTCATGCCTATATTCCTAGATACTCAGGTGACTGAGATCTGAGGCAGTTTGAAAGCAGCCCAGGCATAAAAGTCCCTGAGACTCGAATCTCCAATTAACCACTAGAAAACTGGAAGTGGAAATGTGGATCAAAGTGGTGGAGCAGCAGGCTGGAGGAAAGAACTCAGGGACAGTGCTCAGGTTCTGAGTTCAAGCCCCACTACCGGCCAAAAAAGAAAAAAAAGCCTGTGGAAAACCCATAGTTATTAGCAAAAGAAAGCAGTCTTAGCAAGCCAGCAGAAAGTAGGATAACTGTCACTACAATCATTTCAGTCTTTTTTAAGGGCATGCTTTGTAAATAAAAGAAGAACAACAAAGAAGGCAGCATTTTCACTAAGAATATGTAGGCAAGGGAGCTCCACCCTCCCTGATAGCCTATCTTAAGCGCAGCCCAGCACCCAGGGCAAATAAAGGACACTTGTAAATATATAAACAAGTCATGCTTTTAACAGCTACATATACCAACAAGGACACAATGCCCTATCCTGGAAAGGCATGCAGCTGTGACCTAGCCCCAAGCCACCAGTGCCATGGCCAGTGTCACAGGTGTTGTCTCTGGACAACTAAACTGCCACTCCAAGAACTTGTGGTAGAAAGTTATTTATAACTTCTCTTGGCAACGCATTGGTCCAGGCTGCCTAGCACTCATTCCGAGACAAGTTTGGACCAGCTCTGGGCCCAAGCCAGGGCCCTGGGCCTCCCTCAGCTTGGCCCCACTGATCTGCGCCCTCCTCCCCAACCCCACTCCACCCCCGGCCTCAGAGGCTGGCACCCACCACCACCACCAGTCTGCCATGAAGTACATCTAAAACTTCTGCTAGTTGTCTCCCTGTGTCGCCAACCAACCCGCAACGCACTCTCCTCCAACTTCCTCTGCGAGCAAACACAGTTTGAGGGCGTCCAGCTGCCATTTCTCTGGGGACACTGCCCACCGAATGTCTTTAATGATCTTCTCCACCCCCTCCCCTCTTGGAGGCCAAAGTGATCCCAGAGGACTTTCGCCCCCCTCACCCCAGCTCCCAGATCTGCACCTGGCACGGCTGCGGTCTTATTTTGTGCCTTCTGCTAGGGACCCCAGTCCAACCCCACTCTCACCCCCCAACTGCCTTCCACACAGACCCAGCAGCACACAAGAAAGGGGAGACAAACGACCCCGCTCGGGTGCACCCCGTTTCCAGGGCCCCGCGGGCCCCACACCCCTTCTGCTCTCAGCCAGGTCTCTGCGCCCCGAGGAGCCTGCGTGGACAGCCGAGGCCGCGCGCCCTCGGCCCGGCTGCGCCCTCCGCGCGCCCCGCAGCGCCAGCGCCGCCACACGCTCACCTGGGCGGAGGGCTGCGCGCCCGGGCTACGCGGGCACCGCCACGCCGCGCCACGCCGCGCGGGCAGACCCGGCTCCCCGCGGCCAGCGCCTCCAACCCGGAAGAACAGCCCCAGGCCGGTGGCTCCGGCGACGCCCACTTGATGGCTGCGGCGCCGCCCGGCCCCGCGCCCCCCTTCCCTCAGCCCCTTCTCCAGCCCAGGCCTCCCTCCGGCCGGGGCCCCTCCGCGCCCCCGCCAGGGTCCGTTCGGGAGAGGAAGGCGACCGGACGGAACGCCCACCCTGGGTGCCGGCCAAGGCCGGCCGCCACAGGGGGTCCCGCCGGCTGGCAGCCCGCCCGTCTTTGTCTGAGCCCCGGCCCGCGGGACCCCGGCCCCGCCCCCGCGCGTCCCCGCCGCCTCCCCTCGTCCTTGTCAATCAAACCCGGCGCCCGAGCCCGCAGCGCGCAGGGACTCTCAGCAATTCCTTCGGCCTCCCCCTCCCCGCCCCGGTGAGCCACTTACAGACCCGCCCTGCTGTCCCACCGGAGCAGACGGGCGGGAAGTGGAGCCCCGCTCGCCCGTGGGGCCGGCCTGTCCTCCCGCTCTCTAGGAAAATAACCCTCAACTTCGGTAACGGGAGAGGACCAAAGGCAGGGGAGGCGGAGGAGGAGGAGTGGAGGAGGAGGAATGGAGGAGGAGGAGGAGGCGAGGAGGAGGAGGAGGAGGAGGAGGAGGAGGCGAGGGGCGGGAATGGGGGCGTTGTTTTCCAGTCTGGCTTGGGGAGGTGGAGTTAAATTGCTCAGAAACGGTGGCAAGGCCCGAAAACGAACACACATCTGCCCGTCTGTGTCTTCTGCACCCGCGCCAGCCCGGAGGAAGCTCCTCTTCTGCACCCAGCGTCTGGACCTTGACCTTGTGAACTTTTCCTGACCCGCTCCAAGCTGTTTTCAGCAAAACCGTGGTGACCTGCTAGTTCCTTCGCACAGTTCAGTTACTCATTCTGCAGGTGTATTCCCGCTGAGAGTAAGGGAACCACACATGGAGAAGACAGTGCTCACTCACTCACCCAAAGGGACACGTCATGAAGTGCTAGTGTTACTGCTTTCCACTTTAGTTGAAACAGTCAATGGGCAGAAGGCAAAGCCGGCCTTGCATAACTCGGGGGAAAACAAGAAACGGGCCCCCAGAGAAACCCTTACTCTGAGAAACGTGTTATGTGTTTAATCAGCATGAAAGAACATTCAGCAAATGGACTCCACAGTAGGATAACGTAAAACAAGTCTGTGGCCTGGAAGAGTTTGCAGAAAGGAAAGAGCTCAGTGTCCTGTTTTAGTAGTGAAGCTGGGCTCTGGTGGCTCAGCCTGTAATTCTACTTACTCAGGAGGCTGAGATCTGAAGATCTTGATTCGAAGCCAGGGGAGGAAAGTCTGTGGTTTTTTTTTTAATTTTTATTTTATTTTATTGTAAAGGTGGGAGGTTAGTTACATAAGTAAGGTAATGAGTACCTTTCTTATGGAGCATTGTTACCCCTCCCTCATTTTTCTCCCACTTTCCTTCCCCCCCTCACTTTATTCCCCCCCTCCCGTGGTAAAGTTCATTTCCAACATAGCATCTTGTGAGTATCGCTGTTGCATTGGTTCACCCTTTGTCCTTTGTCTCATCATTTTGTTATTCCCCTTCCCTTCCCCAAATCAGATAAACATAGATTATAAGACACAGGGTATCAAAAAAAAAAGTGGCAACCAAGGGTAAAACAAAAGAAAAAAATGAAAGGAAAAAGAAATAACACACAGTACATTAAAAAAAAATTCTCCAGCTAATCACAGAAAAAGCTTGAAGTGGTAATGTAGCTCAGTGACAGAGTTCTAGCCTTGAGCAAAAAGAGCTTAGGGACAGCGCCCAGTCCCCGAGTTCAAGGCCTAGGACCCATAAAAAATTAAAATAATAGTGAATAAGTGCAGCTTTAGAGACAGGTCAGTGAAAGGGTAGGTACAGTGAGGCAGATAAATAAAGACAAGGGAGTAAATTATGCTGTGGATATTAGTAGAGCATGCCCTTGATTGTTCCTTAACATTGCAAAATAATAATAATAACAATAAGCTTTTTATAAAATCAACACATTTGTAGAGGGTTAGGGTTGCTTCTTCTTCTGGGCTTAAAAATGAATGGCTCCCTAGGTGCCAGCAGCTAAGGCCTGTAATTCTACTATCTCTGTGGGCTGAACTTTGAGGATCATGGTTCAAAGCCAGCCTCAGGAAGAAAGTCCAGGAGATTTTATGTCCCATTAACTATCAAAAAGTTGCAAGTGGCCAGGCGCGGGTAGCTCACATCTGTAATCCCAGCTACTCAGGAGGCTGAGATCTGAGGATTGTAGTACAAGGCCAGCCAGGGAAGGAAAGTCCGTGAGACTTTTTTTTTTGGGGGGGTGGGGGGGTCTGGTCGTGGGCCTGAACTCTGATCCCTCAGCTCTTCAGCTCAAGGCTAGCGCTTGAGCTACCACTTGAGCCACAGCGCCACTTCCGGCTTTTTTCTTTTTGCTTATGTGGTGCTGAGGAATCGAACCCAGGGCCTCAGGCATGCAAGGCAAGCGCTCTACCACTGAGCCAGACTCTTATCTCCAATAAATCAATCAAAAGCCGGAAGTGGTGCTGTGGCTCCAAGAGCGCTTGCCTTGAGCTGAAGAGCGCAGGGACAGTGCCCAGGTCCAGAGTTCAAGCCCCATGACTGACCAAAAACAAAAAACAAAAAAAAGTTGGAAGTGGAGATGTGGCTCAAGTGGTAATGCGCTAGACTTGAGCATAAAAGTATAGGTACAGAGCCCAAGCCCCTAGGACTGTCCCCTAGCCCACTAAACACACACACACACACACACACACACACACACACACACACACACACACACACAGAGCTAGGGAAATTTGTACTCCAAGGAATAAAGTAATATTTGGTGACATTTTGATTGCTATAACTACAAAGGACAGGCTTCTAATGCCTAAATATACCATATTTTATAGGGCAGACACTCACAACAATATTGATCCAAACTGAAATGGCAAGGCTGAGAAACCCTGGCTTAAATTAATGCTCAGTGTGTTATTGAATTTGACTTGACTGTATCACCTGAAGGCAAATTTAAAGATAACTGCTTCTCACTTCTGAAAAAGAATAGTAAGCCATACTGTCACTTTAATAATAAACATGTGAAAATTGATTTCATTGTTCATTTGTACAACCATAATTTGATTACCATTGCTTCCAATAAAACATTTGTTACATGTAACCTATCATAAGCCCCTACATTTAATTATGTATGCTATTCACACAAGGAATCTCAAAAAAAAATGAATGAAGATTTCTCTTTTGTTGTTGTTGGTGGTGGTGGTTATGGGGCTTGAACTCTGGGCCTGGGCACTGTCTCTCAGATTTTCAGCTCAAAGCAAGTGTTCTTCTACCACTTGCTCCACAGTGCCACATCTGGTTTTCTGGTCGTTTATTGGAGATAAGAGTCTCACGGACATTCCTGCCCAGGGCTGGCTTTGAACCGTGATCCTTAAGATCTCAGGCTCCTGAGTAGCTAGGATTACAAGCATGAGCCATTGGCACCAGATTTGAATGAAGATTTCTTTTTCTTTTTTTTTGTCTGTCATGGGGCTTGAACTCTGGGCTTGGGCGCTGTCCCTGTGCTCTTAAGATTTCTTTTTTAAAAAAAAATATAGGCTAGGCACCAGTGGTTCATACCTGTAATACTAGCTACTCAGGAAGCTGAGATCTGAGGATCGTGGTTCAAAGCCAGGCTGGCCAGAAATGTCCGTGAGACTCTTATCTCCAATTAATCACCAGATAACCTGAAGTGGTGCTGTGGAGCAAGTGGTAGAGCACTTCCTTTGAACTGAAGAGCTGAGGAACAGTGCCCAGGCCCAGAGTTCAAGCCCCACAAACAAAAACAAAAGTAGCTCATAAATTGTTCCTGAGTCTTGAGTCCCTTCTTAGATAAAAATCATTGCAAAGACTTTATATGCTCCATTAATTGGTGAGAACCTTACCTGTTTTGCTCTTCTATGACTAAGGCCCCCAAGTGCTTATTTTTTGTCAGTTGTGGGGTTTGAACTCTGGGACTGGGCGCTGTCCCTGAGCTCTCCAGCTCAAGGCTAGTGCTCTACCACTTGAGCCACAGCGCCACTTCTGGCTTTTTCTGCGTATGTGGTGCTGAGGAATCAAACCCAGGGCCTCATGCATGCAAGGCAAGCACTCTTCCCAGCCCCAAAATGTTTATTTTAGAATAGCATTTCTCATATATGCAATCTCTTCTTGTATACTGTCCTACTATTGGATGTTTTCATTTTAAACAAATTTCAAAATTAAGATACATATCAAAATTTAAGCCTTCTGCATTTTAACAATAAAAATAAATAGCATTTAAAAATAGCATTTAATATTTAGAGTCTTAACATATCAGAAGCAAAAAGGATAGCAAGTTTCATTATTGTAAATTTAAATTTTTTAATCTATGTTAAAGCCTAAAAGGCAAAAAAATAAAAAAGTAGACTAAACACTCCAAGGATGATTTATTACCAAAATCTGGCATCCAGTTAAATCCAGGTCAGAGAATAGGTAAATTTAATGTCTTCTCATCATAACACATTAAACAGTTGTCCAGTTTATTATTTCAAACTTCCTTTTTAAAAGTACAATCTATTATTAGCTAACCGAACAGCTGCAATGAGATAAGATTCATAAGAGTCAGTAATATCTAACAATACGCACACTTGGCAGCTTTTATGAGAAAGGTCATTAGAGCTGGGGATATGGGCTCAGTGGTACAGCACTTGCTTAAGCCTGTGTAAGACACTACTGATTTTGGCACCACTACTTGTGTCTAACTTCCTGAAAAAAAAAAAAAAAAAAGAACAGTACTCTGTAAAGTAAAATGGAAGGAAGTTCCTGGCATTTGACCACAGACCAGCAAAAAGATCAGTGAAGAGACTAAGCCAAAGAAGGAAACAGAACATGCCAGAGGCAAAGACTTCTTGCTTGATATTTATATATTAAGTAATGGCACTCCTTTCTCTTCAGTGCCAGTCTTGGATTCTATCCATCATCTGATTAGTGAGTATATCCAGCTATTACACTACCTGGCTGCTGGACAGCAAATACTTAGTTCAATTAGTTTAATTATGTAATTAGTAGAATAATGCATGTTGTGATTCTTCACCCAGAATTTTCTCCAAAAATTTTTGTTCCTATATCTCAGTCTTTCTCCATTTTGTTTTCAGCTCCCTTATTTCTGCCTCTTAGTCTCCTTTTTCCTTCTCCTCTATTACCTGCCTTCCCCCATGCATCCTGTTCCATTCCAAGTAGTTGCTCGGGCCTGTCTTTACCCTTCCTCAAGTTCATGAGGAAACTATATTCCCAGTAAGAGGCTTCTCAGTTCCCACATCAAGGTATGCCAAAATGATTGTCCCTAAAAGTTTGTGTTCAACCTTAGGCCTCTGGACCAACCAGCCAGTCTCCTATGACCTCTTCTCCTACATAACAGCTTCCTCACCCAGAGCAGCTCTTACATCTCACTATGTTCCTCAAAGTTCCTTCTTTTTACTCCCCCATCTACATTTGGCAAAGAAATTTGCT